TCATCAGTAAGTATTTTAAGTCCTCTTCACTTTTAGCAAGCCAAGGTTGTATCATGTATCAAGGTTGTATCATTATTGCAGGTTGCTAATGAGTCTTCCTCCAATCCTGATGCCATGTTTTCCTTCCTATAACCCAGATTCTCAAGTTTTTTCAGTGATATTTGTTGAAAAGACTTTCCTTTCCCCACTGAACTTTTTGGTACCTGATTGTTCCTTTTATCAGGCTTGTTTCGTGAGAAAAGGAACAGGCTCAGAGAGATTAAGTAACTTGCAGAGTATAAAGCCTATATCCACGTCCAAGGGCTAGTTCTGACCCTGTATCTTAAATTCACAGCCAAGTACACACCTGTCATGCAGTGTCCTTGTCTTAGCGTGAAGGGAATCAACTTCCCAGACAGAGCTGCCATTTTCAGCACACCGGTGGCCCCACACTTCAATCGCCAATGCTCCGTCGGAAATGAACTCCAGGAATTCTTCTGTTACATTCACCACATAGTCCTGGGATCAGGGGAGGAAGGAAACAGCAAGAAAGAAGTTATGCTAACAAATGAAATCACTAACTGAAGGGGAGATGCATATTAATTAACTTGGGTGAGGCAAAAAAAAAAGAGAAATGGAATTGCACAACATGATGGCTGTAATTAATGTCACTGAACTGTATGTGTAAAAACAACAACAACAACAACAAAAAGATGAGAAAGAGTTATATATACCTAGAGGAGTCTGTGAGAATTCCCTTTTATTTTCCATCTGCACACAGATTCAGTTTGGAGTACATTAATCTGACCCAACCTTAGTGTAGTGGTTACAAATTGGTCAGCAGTTTGAAACTACCAGCTGTCCCACGGCTGGGAGAAAGTGAGGCTTTCTCCTCCCAGAAAGATTTACAGCCTCAGAACCTGTATTAGGTCGCTATGAGCTAGAACCAACTCTACAGCATATAACCACCACCACCACCACCCTTAAAACCATCTCTTAAATTTCACAGAAAACCACAAGAAACCACAGAATACTAAATCCAAAAGGGAAATTATGAGGTATTTTAATTCAACCTCATCCTTTAACAAATGAGGGAACTGAAGAAAGCAAGTGCTTGATAGTAATGGAGCTGCCTTAGGGCATGTTCCCTTCCTCTTCATTTTTTCTTAGTTCTAGCTGGCACACGTCAGTCCAGCACATCAAGATAGAAACTTCTGATTGCTCCTTCCTATGACTGATAGCCTTATCTTTCTCCCGCGGAGCAGCTGGTAGTTTCGAACCGCTGACCTTAAGGTTTGCAGCCCGATTCGTAACCACTACGCTACCAGAGCTCCTTCGGAAACCCTGTACAGGGTCGCTATGGGTCGGAACTGACTCGACGGCACTTAACAATGACTGATAGCAGAATTAGATTTCCACTAATGATCTTTATAATTCTCTGCTCTTAAACTCTCCCACCCCAAATGCAAACAGAGAACTGTAAGGAAATGAATACTGAAGGAGTAGGTGGCAAATCACCAATGAAAACACAGTGGGGAAGGAAATCAAGCCAGTTTTCCTCTCCCTGGCCTCTATGAAATCTCAGGTAGAGACTACTCGGTTCCTCTAGTAATTCCTGGGAGCAGCTGGGCTATGAGGATTTAACCTTACACGGTCTGTCTTCTTACTTATTTCACTTAGAAACAGAGGCTGAATTTTAGAAGAAAAGGAAACTAAATTGTCAAGTAGTACATCTACATATTTTAGATCAGCATCGGACTGCCAAGCTCTAAGTTGTCAGTTCAAACCTACCAGCTGATCCTCAGAAACCCTAAACAGGGTTGCTATGAGTGGGAACCGTCTTGATGGCACTTCACAACACATTTCAGAGACGAAAAGACTGATCTAGTGAGCATGTGCAGCCCTTCAAGGTCATTCTTTGCATCCAATGGGTTTGGGATGAGTTTTTATAAACACAGTGGTTAACTAGGATGTATTTGAAATTTAGATTTCACTCTTCTAAATGAGCAGCTTTGAGGACCTCAAAGAAACATAGGGAATATTTAAAAGGCTATTCAATAAAATAAATCAAAATGATCAATAAAGATCGATTAAAAACAAAAAAGTGAGCTATTTACTTCCAGAAAAAGACCTGGAATCTTTACATAAGTTAAAATTTTCAGGTTTAGAACCTGACAGAACGGACATGACTTTGGGTCTTAAATATCTACTAAGGATTTTCCAAAAGGAAAAAACTATTAAGTGGACTGAGAGTGTTTTTTAGAAAGGCCTTGTTGGCAAGCCTTGTGAAAGCAAGGGGGTTGTGTGACCTCTCAAAATAGATGTATCCAATGTTCATCAAACAGTCACCTTTCCCCTTTTATACATATTTTTTAAAATTCATAGAGTACATTAAAACATGGGAGCACTGTGGCTTTGTAGGATAAGCACTGGACTGCCAACCATAGGTCGGTAGCTGGAGCCCATCAACCATTCTACAGGAAAGAGATGAGTCTTCATGCTTGGGTAAAGATTCCCAGCCTCAGAAACCATTAATTTGAGTTGGAACCAATTTGACAGCACTTAATGACAACAACAAAAATCTGTTAAAATGCTATGCTGCATTTCCTGGCCCAAACAGAGATACATCTATGACAACTTACATGCTCAGCTGTTGTCCACATATATTAAAACAATAAGAGGCAAACATGCAAAATATGTTAACACAATACTTCTATAAAAACATACTCACGAAGTTACACATGCATAACTGGAAATATATATCCACATTCATTTATAGGTATTTACTTATGTCTACCATCCACATAAGGAGCTCTGGTAGCGTAGTGGTTATGAATTGGGCTGCTAACCTCAAGGTCAGCAGTTCGAAACTACCAGGCATTCCACGGAAGAAAGATGAGGTTTCTGCTCCCGTAAAGATTTACAGCCTCGGAACCTGTATAGGGTTCGCTATGAGTTGGAACCGACTCTATGGTACTTAACAACAACAACAACAACCATCCACAGATAAAAGTTGTAGAGTATAATTCAGTATATTTAATAGTTTATTAGAAATTGAAAGTATTGTTATTGTTAAGTGCCGTCAAGTTGATTCTAACTCATAGCAATGGTGTATAGGGTTTCCAAGCAGCAACTGGTGGATTTGAACCCCATCCTTGTGGTTAGCAGTCCAGTGCTTATCGTACAGTGCCTGTTTCTTGAAACGTGTCGTAGACTGACCATGGTGATCACATCTTGAGGGAATAAGATTCTGGGTAAAGGTTTTTTTCTCTCATATTTTTATTTTAAAGACTTCCAAATTATTTGAATTAATCAGTACACTCTGCACTTGCTACAAACAGACTTCTGAATTGCACCTAGCATGGTTGTATGTAGCTCCCTCTGCTGTGTCCACTGTACCTTACAGTGAGAGAAAGGCACTGTGCACTGGGCATTCTTGGACTGTGGAGAAGACACTTCCGGGTCCACCACGGGTGCAGCCACTGTGGACTCACATTGGTCCCAAAATGTGTATTGACAGAAGACAAAATTCGCAAGGCTTAAGGGCAGCCCAGATGCCTCTTTAATTTTTACCTGAAGAGAGAAAAGTGTAAATGTGACTCCCATTAAAAAAATAATAATAGTAAAAAGATTTACTTATTTTAACTAACTCCAGTTTAAAAAGTAAGCAATGTAACCAATCAATCTGAAATTTGTAAATATTTGGCACTATTTCATTAAGAGTTCGATCTACAACAAAATCTGTAGCACAGTGGTGTAACTGCAATATATAAACTTGGCAACAAACAGACATATCCCGCTGAAATTTTCTCAATGACCAGGTTTCCAAAACAGATGTAAACTTTCCTAAAAGGACCATAATTAAATGAGTAACATCAAACCAGTTGCTGGTGACCCTGACTCATGGTGACCCCATGTATGTCAGCATCGAACTGTGTGTCCCGTAGGGTTTTCAATGACTGATTTTTTGAAAGTAGGTTACCAAGCCTTTTTTCCAGCAACTCTGGGTTAAATGCTAAGCATCTTATCTGCCAAGCATATTAACCATTTGTCCCACCCAGTGACTCCAGGTAAGCAATATACACTGCTTGAACTAAGTAACACATCCTTCTCATATAACAGCTCAAGACTGTATGCTTTTGAAACTTCGATGTAATTGGCATCAGAAAGTGCTCCATATTGTCTGGAAAAGGACTATCCATCAATGTATTTACAGGTTCATTCACTTGAGCCCCAGCTTCTTTCTGTCCTCTCACCCGGCATGTCAGCTTCTTGACTCGGTGAATGATTTCCCCGCTGCTGTCTACGACTTCCAGGCTCCCACTTTCACTGGAGTTCTCTGAGGAGTCGTCCTCCACCATGCGTTCTGGAACAGCCCCTGTGACACGCATCACTTCCATGTGGAGACGTCCTGCAACCTGGGTCAGGCAGGGAATGAGAACACAACCTGGTCCAACACTGACTGGAACCAGACACATGTTCTGCAGTAGCTCTGAAGTTACTGCCTGGTCATGTCCAGCAAGGAGACAGTCCTTCCTCCCAGCACTAGGCCATTCCACAGCTGGCTCTGCAATCACGCTGTCTTATTTGGAGCCAAATTTGCCTCCCTAAAACTTACCTTTTGGAATCATCCTTGGTCTTAACCAACTCTTCCTTATGACAACTCTGGGACATTTTACAGTCATCTATTTACTTTGTTTGTACAGCTATTCATTTATTCATTTGATCAAATACTACTTGAATACCTAGCCTCCATATCAAATACTTCCTGGAACTAAGAATGTAAAAGACCAAGATAGAGATACAGGCTTGGCTGACAGGAGGCTCAGAATCAGATGGGGTAAAGAGAGAGAACTAAAAAAAAACAACAGTGGAGAGTTGGTGTAGGTACAGGCTGCTATAGGAGCCACATATCCGCTCCTGTGCTGGGAGCTGGGCTGAGCTCTGTGATTATCACAGCAAACCAAAGAGACATGGTTGCTGGCCACAGGGAGTGTCTATTCTCTTGGGAGTAGAGAACAGCTTTAAAACTCAGACTGAAGCTGCGTGAAGCATAGTGAGACTACACTTATTCCAGAAGGAACAGAATCTGCCAAGTCACAGAGGAATGAGGAGACAGTGTTTGTTGCGTTCTGTTAACTTTTTATTGCGAGTTAGGCATAGGTTTCCAGAGCAAGACTATCAGTCTCCCTCTCCACAAATCAGACAGTACAATCCCTGCAACGTAACATCACTTATCCCACTGCTTCCAGAGAAAGTTCTTTTTAAAATGGCTTTTCATAAAAAGGCTCTAACTGTCCTCACCATGCTAGTGGTTCTACTTTAGTTGTTGTTGTTAAGTGCCCTGGGGTCAATTTCGACTCACAGGTTTTCTGAGGAAGAATTCTATTGGATGAATATTCTACAAATGTTTTTTCCTGTTAAAGGGCATTTGCATTGTTTTTTAGTTTTGGGATACAATGAACAAAGTTGCCATGAACGTTTGTGAACACATCTGTTTGTGAACTTGTGCTTACATTACTCATCTACAATTTCTGCAGGAGCAGAAATCCTCATCTTTCTACCATGGAGTAGCTGGTGGGCTCGAACTGCTGACCTTGTGATTCACATTTTGGTGTTTACCCTATGGAGCCACCATACTCCCTTTACTAGTTACCCTGTTAACGTTGGCTGCATAGAACTGAATTAAATCACAGGGGTTGTGCTAAAAAACTAAGTCGCCCTGGTGGTGCAGTAGGTTAAGCAGCAGGCTGGTAACTGAAAGATCAGCAGTTTGAACCCGCTAGCAGCTCCGTGGGAGAAAGAGGAGGCAGTCTGTTTCTATAAGGATATACAGCTTCATGAAGCCTAAGGGGCAGCTACACTCATCCTGTAGGGTCACTATGAGTCAAAATAGACTCCACAGTGAAGGTGTGGTGGTTTGGGAGTGGAAATGTGTACTCCCTGAACGCTCTGTTTAGCGGAAGGATCCTTGCTGACAGAGAGTAATGATGACACGGCTGTGGGTTGTGAAGATGACACAGCGTTCTGCTAGAGTTGCAGTAACCTTGGAATAAATGAGGACGGCTATTTTTTATAAAGTAGCTCAGACCCAACTTCCATGTAACAGTTAGCACTGGCCTCAAAGACCTGGAAGAAATTAGTTGGTAATCATTTGACAAATTAGACAAATATGGGAGAAGTAGTTAAGAGGAGGAAGAAACAGTACAAAAAGAAAAATCACCTATGAGATCGTGGCTTTTGAACTTTTTTTAAAAGATTCTTTCTGAGCATCTACCTACTACTAGGCACTGCCATTGAGTCAAATCTGACTCAGTTGTTCTCAATACGAGGGGAAAATGGAATTGTGACGCACGGGATCTTTGTACAAACTTTTTGAAGCCCCTTTGTGTAACTCCAGGGAGATTTCAAGAAACACCCAACGTAAACCGTGGACTCCGGCTTAACAATTCAAGAGCTAAGGACTCAGCCACTGGATTCTTTGCCACACGAGGCACGCTTATTACTTTATTCCCCTAAATTAATTTTGTTGTTGTTGAGAATGTGTGCAAACACACAGTGATTCAACAATTTCTCCACGTACTATTTAGTGATGTAACAGTCAAGTTACGTAACTGTTCTCACCTTCCTTTTCTGAGCTGTTGTTCCCCCACGAACATAAACGCATTGCCCACTAAGGCTCTTAGCTCATCTTTCCAGTTGCTATTGGCAATTTGATCCCATATAACTCCAAAACCCAAACCTACCTCCATTGTGTCAACTTCAACTCAGAGTGACCCACAGGGAGAGCAGAGCTGCCTGCCAGGGTTTCTGAAACTATACAATTTCATGGAAGCAGACAGCTTCAGCTTTCTCTTGCAGAGTGGCTGGTGGGTTTGAACCACCGGCCTTGCAGTTAGCAGCCCAACGCTTAGTCAACTATCCTACCAGGGCTCCTCTGTTCACGTGAATTTGAATGTTCTTCTAAAGCATGCTTATATTTAATATGGTAAACAATAACTCTGTTATGACGTGTACACAATGTACTCATACCAACGCAGTTAGGAACTGGTCGGTGTGTGTGTGGTGGGGACTCTTTCCCACCTTCACTTTGTGTAAAGTAAGTTTCTTATCCTCAGCCTGCTTTAAGAATCACAAGAAACAACTGAATAGCTAAAGTCTGTATGCTACTGAGTGATACGTTTAGTTTAAAAAAACTAATGTCAAAAAATATTTTAAAAGTTTGAACTTGAACATTTTCTGATATATTTAAGTCTACAAAAGGATAATAGATCTATGAATAATTGAAATAGAAGAAGAGTTCAAAATGAATAACAAAGGAATATTTAAATTTGTTTTCTTTGAATACTTTGGATTTCAAAGAATCCTCCCCACCAAGCTGTATCCTGTAGAAACAATTTTGGTGCCAGGAGTTACGAAAGAATGAGAGTTCATCACAAAGGAAGAGATGAAAAGAGAAACTGATGTTGGACAGAGAGCTGAAGAAAGTACTTGTGATCCACAAATATAACACTTGCTGTATCTTTTTAAATAATCTTCTCAAACTAGTACTTAATTCTGACAGTTTGTTTCTGTGTTAGTAGAGAAAAAAGAAATGTGGATTCTGACTATTCACCTTAGAGTCCAGATCCACCTTAAGAAAAAACAAACAAACCCATTGTCATTTTCTTTGTGGTTGGCCTGTCCTTACCTCCCCCTGCTGGCTGATGATGGGAACAGCATACTGGAGTTTCACGTCACAGAATAGACACTCCAAGAACACATTGGCCACACCAATTAGGTTGTGATTCTCTTGGGCTTCATAGAAAGGGTCACCTCGCTTCCCGTACAGTCTTTTTGCCTGAGAGATTGGAGGGGCACAGGAATAAGAAACAAAACATCAACTTAAATAATGTCATTGAAACGAGCACATAATTTTTTTAAAGAAAGCACATAAACAAACGATAAATAAAATTAGAATCATGTCATGCAAAGGAAATGAAAAGGGCACATAACCTGAGTGGCTTGTGCACTCAGGAACTAAGTGATTCCCCTGGAGGACTTCCTCCCTCTCACTGCCTCCTCTTCCCAGCCACAAGCTACCTGCAGCCTTTTCCATTTCACTTCCTGTGCTTTTCTGCTTAAAAATCTTCTTATCCATTCCTCAGATTCTGCTCACTAACATCACTCAGAGTAATCTACTCAGGCAGGGTCATAGCAAAGGGTTGTTGCTGTTATTAAGTGTCACAGAATTGGTTCCGACTCACAGTGACCTTGCATAGGGTTTCCGAGGAGCGGCTGGTAGGATTGAACCTCTGGCCTTGTGGTTAGCAGTCCAGTGCTTATCCTACAGCATCACAACAGTTGGGGTAATGAACACAAAATTCGTGTAGGCTGCTTTTCCATGACACTTCATTTTTCTTAAAATATAGTGAAAATGCAGCCAAATAAGAATATATTACTGTTTTCTTAGTGAGCTGCCATTTGTGTGCGGAACCACATGTCATGTTACTAATTCAACTTAGCATTCCTTTCAGGATCACTTTTAATTTATGTTTCCTAATGTTAATATGCTCTGGTAGCGTAGTGGTTACGAATCGGGCTGCGAACCTTAAGGTCAGCAGTTCGAAACCACCATCCGCTTCGCGGGAGAAAGATGAGGCTTTCTACTCCTGTCAAGATTTACAGCCTTGGAAACCCTGTACAGGGTCACTATGGGTCGGAATCAACTCGATGGCACTTAACAACAATGTTAATATGCAAAGAGCTCTGGTAGTGTCATGGTTATGAATCAGGTTGCTAATCTCAAGGTCAGCAGTTTGAAACTACCAGCTGCTCCATGGGAGAAAGATGAGGTTTTCTGCTCCAGTAAAGATTTACAGCCTCGGAAACCCTATACAGGGTTGCTATGAGTTAGAACTGACTCCGTGGCACATAACAACAATACCAACAATATTAATATGCATGTCCAAAGTAACATGACAAATGATCAGTGGCACATGTTGGTGTATGTGTGCCCTGATAGTGATATCACTTATGTTCTCTGCTTTTAAAATAACCAAATCTCCTTTGCATTTTGTGTCTCTTACCTCTGGGACCTCTTCCTTCCATTCTTGATAAAGTTCCCGCATATCAATTAATTTATTCTCCAGCTTCTCAATGGTCCACACTTGGGTGCTCTTCCCTTTCCTTTTCACTTGGATAGCTGGCTCGCTCACTATTGCCCCTCTCTGTATAATGATGAAAAGTCAACAAAATAAGTCCCTTAGATAGTCATTCATACAAGTAATGTACAACTTCCTTTTGGACGGCTACACCAACATATAATAGTAAGTTTGAAAACCATAACCAAGTATACAAAAGAAGGCAAAATTCTACTATCTAGGAAACATTCTGCTTTGCTTCTCATCTTCTACGTATATCCATGCACCTATTCAATTTTTATCACAATTAGGCCAACCCCAAATATAATTTCAGACCCCAATTCCCATTCCACTGTTTATATTGTGATTATTTTCTCACGTTATGTATTTTTCATAAACATGATTTTCAATGGCTGCAAAGCAAATCATCATATGGATTTACCATACAGCTGACTAGTCTATTCAACTTCATGGCGGTTTTGATTTTTTTGCTATTATCAAGGCCACCATGATAAGCGTTCTTGTATATAAAGTACCTAAATGTTTACGTATACTTCCATGACCATACACATACAGCAATGTTCCCAGAAGGGAACTAAAGCTCGGTTAAAAACTCATCAAAACTGCTTTGAGAAGCTTCTGGCTCACTTTCTAGCATGTGTGCTGGAGGGAAAACTGGAGGAAAAGCTCTTTTCTTCAAGTAAAAAACCTTTCATCTGAAATGACAGGAGACATCCAAATGGCTGCAAAGAATCCTTCTTGGTACATAAAGACAAGGCATCACCTAAGTCTTCCTTTCTTGTAGAATTTGCTCTGAAAACCTTAACAAAGCACACACATCTCTCCAATTTTAGAAATGGACATTTATATGAAAGGGAAAGAAAGGCATGATTGCTCATGGTTCCTCCTAGTCTCACTGTTGCAGAGAAAGCATTTAAATTATTAGCAAGCTCTTTAACCACCAAAATACTGCACATTCTGATGATAACATTCCTGAGGGCATTGCTGAAGCAATTCTTACCTGACAGTCTATAGAAAAAGTCTTGAAAAAATATTGCTGGTTCATATTTGGATCTCCTAGTGGGCTTTTTTTGGATGTCAGTTTTATGTTTTATTTTATAGTCCTTCCTGTTGTTCATCTTGGCTCTCATTTTAACTCTCTTACCTTTCTATTGGCGCTGAGGTTTGCAGCGGGGATCTGAAGTGTCACTTGGTAATCTGTGAGTTTGCTCATTTCCTCAGCTAAGAAGTTTGCTTCCCTCACCAACGTATTAGCTTTCACGAGCTGCTCTCGTAGTTTTGCCAGGCTTTGTCGGAAGAGTTCATCCCTGCAGCAGAAAAGGAAGTGAGAAGACCTAAAAGAAAAGAAAACTACAAACCTGTTTTAAAGTGAAGTTGCATTAGTAGAAAAGGAAAAACTCCTTGTAGACAAGATTTCCCAGCTACTTTCACCAGAACACCTCCTGGACAGCTTCCTCCCACCAGGGATCTGTGGGGTCTCTGTTGAGGACCACTTATCATGTGCAAATCTGTGAAGTGGCTTAATTAAAAACCATTTAAAAACAGACTAGATTTTGATGTAATGAGAGGACAAAAAATAAAAATAAAAACCCTTTGAGAAAAAGAAGGAGCAGTGGGTTAAGCACTGGACTGCTAACCGAAAGGCTGGTAGTTGGAAAATGAGGTTGGATGCTTCTGTAAAGATTAGGCTTGTAAACCCTATTGGGTAGTTCTAGTGTGTCTTACTTTGTGAGATACTTTGAGTCATAACTAACACAACAACAGTGGGATAGGAAAAAGAAACAGTGATTACAACTTCAGAGCTTAGGAGGGGGCACCTAGAGTTAGAACATAAGTAGGTATTTTATATGACTTCTTCAGCTGGTAAAAGGCATGAAATTGGTACTTCAGTGGCAGATTTTTGTATTGTTTTTCCTACTTTCTCTACTTCCTGATAAAAGCTTCCCTAACACCTGGTGTGGCGCTGCAGGATAAAGCACTGGACCACAAGGGTGGTTTGAACTACAAGATTGATGGTTCAAACTCACCAGCCGCTCCTTGGAAATTCTATACAGGGTTGTTATGAGTTGGAACTGACTCAATGGCACTTAACACCACCACTACCCTGAATGGGTGTTTTCCTAATCTCACGCCTTTTGCCTCAGTAGCATTTATCACAATTACAATTAATCAAATACATGTAAGACCTCTTAGGGAAGAGATCACAGCTTTTGCATTACTATATCTAGTCCTAGCCAGCCAAATGTATGGCCAATTGTAAGACCTTCAATAAATGCCCATTGTATGAAAGAAAAATTGAACTCTGGATTTCATAGCTAATTTTCATTTGAAAGATAACCTAGATTAGCAGACTGCTCTTTGCCTATCTAACTCTATACCCCCTGCCCTGACTTCATATGAGAAAGATGACCTTTAAATAACATCTTGACTCCTTTTCAGCACCTTAGGAATGACACAGAAGACATACTACAAAGATGCTACTGAAGATGTCAGGAATTGTATCTCAATCAATACTGCCAACCCTGTTTTCCTGGAGTCCCTGGGTTGCACAGTTAATATGCTTAGATGCTTTTGGAGGTTTGAATTCACCCAGAGGCACCTCAAGATAAAGAACAGATGATCTACTTAAAAAAAAAAAAAAAACAGCCAATGAAAACCGTATAGAGCTGGCCTTAGGGGACACCAAGGTCAATTGGCACAACACAGTCCACAACAAAGGCAATGCTCTACTTCCCATAACTTTTTATTGTGAAATGAGGGAAGGTTTACAGAGAAGATCATCAGTTTTCCATTCAACAAACCATACACTGTTTCATCTCAACGATTGCAATCCCCTCCATGCAACAACACCTAGCCTGTGATTCCGATTTCCATTCCACCCTCCTTCTCATCCCTGCTCAACTTTGTCCTTAGGTAAATGTTGTCCCTTTGATCTTGAGTGACTAATCATTCCAGAGTGAGTATACCTTTACTAGTGTTGTTGTCCCTCTTTATATACCTACTGCTTGGCTGCAAATTGGACCACGAGAGTGACTTCCGTTCCAGACCTGAAGGGTGGTTGAAGGTCATGGTCTTGGGTTCTTCCAGTTTCTCTCTGACCAGTAAGCCTGGTTTGTTTTTCTAACTGTGAGTTTTGTTACACATTTTCTCCCTTTCTATCTGGGACCTTCTTATGTGATCCCTCCCTTTCAGAGCAGTTGGCAGTGGGTGGCTGGAGACCCTCTAGTTCTTCTTGCTTCACTGTTCATATCTTGCTTTGCTGAGTAGTGACTGGGGTCTCACAACTTGATGAGTGACCCTCTAAGGTGCAATTCTTGGTCTATGTTCATAGGAGAGTGAAGATAACTGAAGACACACAGAAACAATTAGTCTAATGGACTAATTGACCATGTGAACATTAGTCTCCACAATGCTAAGATCAGGAGAAATAGTTGGTGCCTGGTTACCCCTACCAACTGCTCTGGAAGGGATTATATTAGAAGGTCTTGGACAGATTTGGAGAAAATGGTGGAAAAAAACTCAAAATCTTAAAACTAAGCTTATTGGTTGTATAGATGGAACCCTGAGACTATGGTCCTTTCAGGTCTGGGAATGAAGTAACATGTCTCAATTTTGAGCCTAATGATGGCTAGGTCTATATGGTGAATAGTAACAGTAGGGATGTACACATAGCTTAGAATAATCAACTTTTCGAGATCAAAAGGGCAGCATTTACCCAAGGACAAAATTCTGAAGATTAGGAGAGAGAAGGAGGAATGCAAATCGGCAACCCAGGGAGGAAGTGGGATGAGTGATGTTACCTTGTGAAGACTGCAGTCAATGACCGGAGATAAGGTGTCTGAAAAACTGATCTGCTCTGTAAACCTTCAACTCATTCTCAATAAAAAGTTGAAATGAAAGAAAGAAAGGAAAAAGATTGACCAAACTCAAAACGAAGAAAACCCTACGGAGCACAGGTCTACTGAGACCCACATGAAATTGCCATGAGTTGGTGTCGAGTCAATGGCAACTGGTTAAAGAGGGAGGGAGAAGTCTTCAGCAGCGATCATGAAAGTGCACGTACTTGGAAGGGACAGTATCGTTCCAGATACAGGACTAAAGCTTCCCTTCGTTGCAGGGCTGGCCCCCTATGTCATTCCTCACAAGTCCTTCCCCCCCGTGAAGTCAGTCATCCAGGTGGCTGCTCTTACCTTTCCTCTGCCCACAGTGTCACCTTCTGCTGAGCTGTCTGGCTGCTGTATGCCAGGCGGTCAGGACCGCTGTTCTGGGGTTGCCTCTCAGGGGAGAGCTGCTGACGGAGTTGTTCCAGCTCCCGCTCGTACATAAGCCGCTGCTCCTCAAGGGCACTCCTCTTCTCCTCCAGGTACTGCTTCTCCAGAACCTGAACCACATTTTGAACTGGGTCTGGGGAGTCAAGAGACCAGACAAATAACACATTCATGCATTTGTCCTTGGAAAGTCATTGTATTCCCACACAATGGCTCTAAGTTTAATTTTCAGGGTTGTTGTTATGTGCCATGGAGTCGGTTCCAACTCATAGCTTCCCTGTACAGGGTTTCCGAGGCTGTAAATCTTTAGAGGAGCAGAAAGCCTCATCTTTCTCCCACAGAGCACCTGGTGGTTTTGAACTGCTGACTGTGAATTTAGCAGCCTGATTTGTAACCACTATGCTACCAGAGCACCTTAATTTTCAGGGTAGATATGGGAAATTGCAATGATTCATGAGGAATTTTTTTATTACCTGATGATGTCTACTGACCAATTTAAAAAAAACAAAAAAAATTCTATCATGTAAACCATACTAATTCTCTGTGTGAGCAGTAAAGAGAAAAAAGATACTATGTTAGTTTTTTGTTTGTTTGTTTTTTTAAAATAAAGTTAAGCATACAAAATAAATAGTGGGAAGCCATTTTACAAAGCCACAAAATGCACAGAATGCAGGTAAGTTGTTTTAATAAAAATAAGAACCATAATTAATGGCAACAATAATTCAGCTAGCTACTGACTACATTTGAGACTTCCTAAGAGCCATGCAACAACCTAAGGGTAAATAGGTATCAGCCCCACTGTGGAGACGAGGAGGCTCAGAAAGGTTAAGCAGCTGACTTCAGAACTGGTAAATGGCGGAGCCGGGTTTCAAACTCAGATCAGAGTTAATTGGCTGGGATAGGGCATTAACTCAGCAATACACTGAAGGATAGTCTGACCCCAGAGTTTAACTCAGACTTAATTATTGTGACGGGGACAGTGTAGTACAATACTGTTCTTGGCTAACATAGAATCCTATGAACGAGTATTTCCCCATCCCCAAACTAGAATAGTGCCCTGATACAAAATCCCTAAACTTACATCAGTTGAAAAGCTAATAGAAAATGAACTCAGAAAAACCTCTCACAAAAAGGCAGATTGTGGATGATGGGTCAGACGTATTTTACAGAACAACAATCTGTGGATTCCAAAGCATTACAACTTCTGACATGCCTCATAACTTCTGATGAAAATATGAAAAATATGGCAAGCTTGTTCAAAGGCATCTGAAGAAAATTTATATGTAAAGACAGGAGAACAAAAGTTCTCGCAGAAGTTTTACAAAGTATATTTCTCAAACAGTATATATCTATAATACTTTTACATTTAGGCTCTGATACATGAATTCTCTTTATTTTATTTAAAATTAACTTAGTCTGTCAAAAAATTTAAAAGGACAGGTTTCTTACCATCCCTTTATATTTATATGGTATCTTATCTTCAAAGGCCCTAACTTAGTGTTTATAAATCTTTTCCAGACACAGAAAACATGAAAACACCATTTTCTTAAAATAGTATTATAGGGCTTTTGCTAAAAGACACCAAATAATATATTTGATACTCATTTCTTAATCAGTAGGGCACCCATGATCCCAAATGGCTGCAGTAGAGGGGATATCATCCCAAGATTCCAGGCCAGGGCAAAAGCACATGACCGAGTCTGTTTCAACTACCTTAGCAGCTACCAGAGTTCCAAAAGGATGGTGGTTCAAAGCCACAAGGTTTTCAATGGTGGATTGTTTGCAATTAAGATCACCATGCCTGTTTTCTAAGACATCTCTGGAAAGATTCAAGCCTCCACCCTTTCAGTGAGCAGCCAAGCATGTCTGTACCACCCAGGAACTCCTTTCACTACTATAAATTAAAACAAAACCAAACCCCCATATCTGTTGCCTTTGAGCTAATTCTGACTGGCAGAGACCTTGTAGGTAAGAGTAGATTTTTGTCCCATAGGGTTTCATCTGTAGGATAAACACTGGACTACTAACCACAAGATCGGTGGTTTGAGTTACCAGCTGTTCCACTGGAGAAACATGAAGATTTCTGTCCTTATAGAGATTTACAACCTGGAAAACCCTACACAGGGTTGCTACGCGCTGGAACTGGTATGGTGGCACTTAATAACCACCACCACCTTTACAGAAGAAGAGTGACACACCTTTCTCCCGTTAGGGATTTGTGGGTTTGAACCACTGACCTCTAAATTAGCAGTTGAGCCCTTAATGTCTGTGCCACCGCAGTTCCACTTTTAATACTAAAAAGCACACTTTAAAAATACTAGATCATCCAAAGCAGTAGGTCAACCTGGATCTCTGATATGGCCTAGGGCAGAATCCAGAGATCATCGGGACTACTCTCAAAAGCCCATAAAATATCAGGATATCACATACACAGTTTTGTTTTCCCATCTCTTTCCTCCTTTTGAATGAACTATTATGAAACTATATGACCCTGGCACCTAAAGTGGACATTTTAGGTTGGCATTTTAAGAGGAGAGAAACGTCTACATTTAATTAGACACAGCACTTCCTCTTCTTCATGAATTTACTCTTTACTTGCTGTATGAGTAGAACTATGAAATGAACTCAAATGTGATTATGGCAAAGAGAAGATGGCAGTGGTGGTGGAGGAAGGGGCACTGATGTGAAACTAAAATGAGAATTGATTCACACCAAAATGTCAAAGGACTGAAGTCAGGGGAAGTAGAAGCTTAGGGGAAATAAAAAAAGAAACTTTTAATCTTGGATGGAGTAGGCTGGGCCTGTGACCCGTGTTACTGTTGTTAGTTTCCATCGAGTCTGCGCTGACTCACGGAGACCTTATGTGACCCCATCAGTACCAGACTGCTATTTATTTAGCGTTTCCACTGACACTGTGCAAATCTGATTCCCACTTTGAGTCCTTGGGAATTTGGCATCACTGCCACAGTTACTGTGCTTCCTTCACTTTTTAGATAAAACAAGTTGGGTTTTAGACCAGTTTCTTTTAATCTAGAGACTCAAATTACATTATTCTAGTCTATTAAGGGGATACCACTGACAGTAATAAAGCAGCTTGAGCACCTTCAGAATGCTGGATGCTCAAGGAAACAGTAGCTCCCAGATTTTAAGCATTGGGGAAATAATGGCACTGGGACCTAAGGGGGTCATAATTGAAAAGGTGCACTTCTCATCAACATTTTGCAGTCACTTTCCCAGGCAAAACACTTGAGCTTCTTTCTAATCATGTTAGGTTTTGACAAAGCATGTAGCCTAAGCATCAATCACAGCAGCCTCGCTTAAAACCAGCCCAGCACCGCCATGCTAAGTCCACTCCATTCATAACCTTTCTCCCAGCGTTTGTGGAGGAGCTTCGTCTGAAACCACATGAGAGGGAAGAGGATCTTCAAATAGGACCACCATGGGGATGACCACCACGCAGACAGGCTTAGTATCGGGAAGCCACCTAGTAGCAGGGGTGAACTGTTTTGAATGCCATCTAGTTACCAGTCAGCCAGCCAATCAGTGTTGAAATACTACTTATATCAGAGAATGATTGTGTATCCTTTGGGAAAGTCACATTTGCTTGTAAAATTGGCTAAGGAGTGGGGAGGCAGACACATGAAGAAATACTGTGGAGCAAGGCTCAACATGGAATACAAATGGATAACTCATGTACACCATGAGTCAGGCAAATGATGACTTGGCTTGGCTAAGAGGATGGGCAGAATTAATGACTATCCATTAAATTCACATAGGTTTTCCAGGGTTTAATATGTATGTCAAGAAGGTTGCAATTAGATAAAATTAGAAAGCTACAAATGGGATGAATAAATGATTTAAAAGATATAAGCTAGAGAACTTTTGCAAAATTAAAGAGAATAACAAATGTCCAGAATTCTATAATCTCCCTGTCAGAAGCAAGTTCTCTGCACATGGGTGTTTCTCACCTGGCACTTGAAGCCTATGCCCTCATGTTACAACCTCCCACAACACGTACCAACTCAGTCTTCCAGAAAACCCACTCACAGGAGCCTTGTTGCCCGGGCACGTTGCTAAAGTGATGCTATTTTGGTGTTTGGCCACCACTTTGGGAAACCTTTCTGGATTCCTCTCCCAGCTTTCTGGGCAAGTAGCACAGCAGAATGAAACTTGATTTCTAGTTATGGTCCATTCTATGCTGCAGCATTCATTAGCAAGAGCTAAACTTAATATTCTACAGATGCTTGAAGAGATAAATGACCAGGCTTCTTCCTTAAGTTATTTTTTCCCCTCCATTCTTTTCGTTGTTTCACACTCTTCATAGTGAAGTCCTGGTGTGGCACCATAGCATAAGCACTGGACTACAAAGATGGTTTGAGCCACAGGTCAGTGGTTCAAACTCACCAGCCACTCCTTAGAAACACTATACAGGGTCACTATGAGTCAGAACCAACTCAACAGTACTTAACAAAGCAAGAACAACCACAACTCTTTGTAGCAGTATGGAAATATGCTCGCTTTCCAGAATCTAGCCATTTTCTTCATAATTTTTCTTTTTTTTCACATTTCATTTTTCTAATTCCAAGCATGGGTCCTTGTGGTTAAAAAGTCATAGAGGTAAATAAAAAGGTAAAAACCTTTAGTCCTACAGGAACATCTCCAATTTGATATACCAGAGATCTGATTGGCTATTTTCTAGTCATGCTCAAATTCTTCCCTGGGAGCCCTGATCAATGAGCAGATTGAGAAAGTAAAAGATGAAGGAAGAGCTCAGTTGTGCAAGAAAAAAAGCTTTCCAAGAGCTTTGTCAGATACCGGTGGTTAGTTCTAGAACTCTCAGGTCCCTGAAGATCTTCTTGGGTTCACTTTAGGTATCCAAAGAGCAGATGAATGGGCAAATAAGGTTGGAACAAGTCCAGAAATGAACTGGTTGTTTTCCCTTATACTCCAGACTGTAGCTGAAACTTGATTCCTTGTAGGCAAGTTCTAGTTTTGAAAATGCTGCTTTGTCTCTGGTGACATGAAAACTATCCTGCTCTCCTTATGGGAGATTCAAAACTGAGGAAAGCAAGGGAGAGAGCTGTAAAATACATGCAAAGTTCTTAGAACAATCAGCCATATGATCAAAATGGCAGCATTTGCCTGGGATAAAGTTTAGAAAAGGCAGATGGGATAGGAAAGACGGTTGAACTGGAAATGGTAAACACGGGGGGGAAGTGGGAAGATAGATATTAGATGGTGGGGACCACAATCAATGTCAAGAAACAAAATGAATAATTGAATGGAAAATTAATTTTCTATGTAGACTTTCACCCAAATCACCATTTAACAAACAGAAAAAAGAAATATGAGTAGGGAAAGACTCTGGTGTGAATTTTATTGAGCACACATGAGTGTGTCTAAGTTCAAAGTTAGAGAGAAGAGGTGCAGAACATTGACTTTCAGACAAAGAGAGAACTTTAAAGTACATATTGAAAACCATCTGGCAAGAGTGGTCTAATTTAATAAGCACAATCATTCAGTATCCTAGAACCATGGAAATGTTACTATCTGGCTTGGGAATAAGAGGTCAAAGAAAAAAAAAAGCCCACTATCACCTCCCTGTTAAATCTAAAGGATGCAACTATCTCCTGGAATCTCTACAGCCCTTCCCCAATGGCCTTTATTAGGAATTAGTGCTTCTACATGTCTAAATATCAGAAGGACCCTTTAACTTTATGCATACATCTCCCTCACTAAGTGGTATGAGATGAGGAACTGCCCAAGACAGCAGGTTCTAGGGTTAGGGTCTTACCATTGCTGTTCAGCGTTTTCATGATCACTTCCATCTGTGCAAACTCATAGTTGTAATCTGGTTCTGAGGACGCTTCACTGGCTGCGTCCAAGTCATGCTCTGATGGACTCGTTTCTTTTTCAAAATCTTTCAACCAGTCTCGCCGCTTCCTCTTAGGCAAATTAATTCTGTTGGGGTGGAGAGTGGTGTTTCACCATTATAGAAACTCAACCTGTTATATACTTACATTGATAATGTGATCATTTTACATGAAACCGTTACTGAACGCAAGGATGTTACCTGAAAAAGTGGTTATTTCCCCACAGGATTCTGTCGCCGTGCCAGAGCTGGGTGGTGTTGCACACGAGGGTGCCATTTACACAGGATCTGAGGGAACAAGGCAAGAAGATGTGGGGTAGCAAACCACAGATATACCCAGGGGATGTGCTAGCCAATGCACATAGAAGTAATAACACGGAGATCACCACTTAAAGCCAGAATCTAGACAGTGATGACACCTCTCAAACGGACCCTGTTAGCACAAATGGATAAGCACTTGGTATCTAACTGAATGGATGACAATCTGAATCCAGCGGCTCTGAGGGAGAAAGACTTGGCTAACGGTTGATGTAAAGCTTCAGCAAAGAAAACCCTTGGGGTTGTTCTAATCTGTCTCGAGTTGAAATCTACTCATCGGCAACTAACAACAACAACCCTCTCTCAAAGAGAGACAACCAGACCCTATAGAATATTCCTGGCAAACTTTAAGCTGATCCCAAACAAGCTTTTACATCTGAATACCAATTTAGTAAATCCAGAGAACACCGGAAGATGACAAACGACTGTGTGTGGATGCAATGAGGAAAATCTTGTCTGTGGAAGCAACTAGGTGTCTTCAGCAAATATAATGCAAAGGAGGGGACAGAAAAAGGGATGGAGGAACCCACAGCTAAAAGAGACCTAAGAGACATGACAACGGTTAGATCGTATCAGAAAAAGGAAATTTAGGAGATAGTGGGAGAACTGTGAACACTGACTGAATACATGATGATGACGTTTTAGATGGGTTAGGATTGAAGTTAGGTTTAAGATACAAGAGTCCGTAGGTTTTAGAGATATATACTGAGGTACTTAAGGATGCAATGATGAAGGACTGAATTTGCTTTTTAAATAACCTTGCGGGGGGTGGGTATGTTGTTGTTGTTAAGTGCCATTAAATCGTTTCCTACTCATAGCGACCCTGAGGAGGGTTTCTAAGGAGCGGCTGGTGTGTTTGAACCACCAATCTTTAGGTTAGAAGTCCAGTATTTACCTTACAGTGCCACACTAGGATTCCAAACTATTTATGAGTTGGGTCACTTTTAAAGCTGGATGATGCACAAACAAACAGTGGTTTGTTAAATTAACTCTCTCTTTTTTTAAATAAGTTTAAATTTTCCATAATAAAAAGTTAGAGGAAAACAAAAGAATTGCAGGTATAACTCCTACTCAACTATCATACAAACTGTAAGAACAACAAAAAACGGAGGCAGGACAGACAACTTTGATAGGCACACTGTATATGTTGCTGTTAGGTACAGTTACATCAATTCTAACTCATAGTAACGAGGTCTAACAGAGTTGAACTTCCCCCTGGGGTTAACTAGGAAGTTACCTTTTACAGAAAGGAGACCTGGTGGTGGTGTGGGTTACACACTGAGCTGCTAACTGCAAGGTAAGCAGTTCAGATCCACCAGCTACTCCAAGGGAGAAATATGAGGCTCCTGTAAAGATGTACAGCCTCAGAAACCCTACACAGGGTTTCTATGAGTCAGAAACAACTCAACAGCTTCCCAACAGGACCCTCACCAACACTATCTTTACAGAAGCAGAGCACCATGTCTTTTTCCTGATGAGGATCTGGGTGTGTTTGAACTGCCAACCTTTCTGTTAGCAGGTGAGTGCTTCACCATTTTGTCCGGCAGGCACCAGAAACGAGGCGCACCCATGTCTGTGGGTCTGTGTTGACCTATGCATCTAGGACTTGTCTGAAACAAGTCTTGAAGCAGCAGCTTTGCCCAGAAGACATTCTATGAGTTGTGCTCTTTAAGCATTACAGCTTTCATTATATCAAAACTTTGCTATCCTCTTGTGATACAATAGTGAGTAATTGCTATTAGGACTGACTATGAGGCTTAGAAATGTAAAGGTAGACGTTTTGTAGCAAAAGGAAGGGAGTGATTGACTTTGCAGTCTAGGAGCGGAGGTCCCTGGGACCATTAAGGGGAAGAGCAGAGAGTGGAACCCTACCCAGAGAAGCAGTGACGCCAGAGATGGAGGCAGAGACGATGGCGTGGCGAGATGGAGTGGCTGGTGACTTTAGACCCAGAGAGGGAGAGGGGTGCAAGCTTGCAGGGTATACCTTTGGGTTGGCTGATGACGCATGGAGGGGACTGTAATCATGGCAATGAAATGGTACACAATAGGATGAATGTAAAGCTAATGTTCTCCCATGTACACTATCACATAATTCACAATAAAACATTAAATAAAATTTTTATTAAAAAACTGAAAGAAAGAGAGGAGAATAAAAAAACAAAAAACTTTGCTAGAACTTGTTGTTGTTAGGTACTGTGGAGTCAGTTTCAACTTGTAACAACCACATGTGAAAGGGTAGAACTACTCCATAGGATTTTCTAGGCTGAAACCTTTATGAGAAAAGATTATGTCTTTCTCCTGGGAAGGTTTCAAGCAAACAAACATTCGATTGGGAACAAAGTGCTTAATCATTGCTGTGATTTTACTGTCTGTCTATCAATGAGCATAAAGTCAGTAGCCTGAAAAATCCAGTGTGAAAGATTTTATGGGTTTTCCTCTTATCAAAAGATCTTGACAAAAAACAAAAACTTGACAAGTTGAAGTTTATTTACTGTAACTTTGGGTTGGGAGAAGAAAATTTCTCCTGAATTTTTATACCACTGACAATTTCAGTCTTCTCATAAATACTTCCTCCACTTAAATAAAGGTGTTTGCTGGCATTAAAACACACACACACACACACACACACACACACACAAAACACACTAAGGGGAGCAATTAATCAATGAAAGTTTAATTTGCTAAAGAGGCTGTGAGATGAAGTTTTTACCTAATGGAGAAAATAAAAAATATTATTTTTGAGTTTAATTTTCCAATAAGTTTCTTTTCTCACAAATTCTCATATCTGACTCCTGATCTTCATAAAACTACAAACCTCACATGTTAAGGAAAAAGTAAATTCCCATATGAAAACAATCATGCCTTCATAGTAATATTTCAACTGTGGTAACTAATTTTTTATTGATAAAAATACCGTGCTGTATGTTTTTGTTCTGTTATAAATATACATGGTAAATCTCTGGGGTTTGTGTGTGTGCTTAAACTAACAAGCCTCCTTTCTTCTTGCTAGTCAAAATGACTAACTCTCAACATTGTAACTCAAACTTCACAAGTCTGAGTCACATGTGTTGATAAATTATAGACTGTTTCATTCACCTTTAAAATTGGGAGGAGAGATCAGAATGCACACATGCACATGCATGTGTATATACGTGCATATAAGGAGCTCTGGTAGCACAGTGGTTACGAGTTGAGCTGCTCATCTCAAGGTCAACAGTTCAAAACTATCAGCTGTTCTGCAAGAGAAACATGAGGCTTTCTGCTTCCGTAAAGATTTACAGCCTTGGAAACCCTATGCAGGGTGGCTATGAGTTAGAACCGACTCCACAGTATACCACCACCACCGTACGTGTATATGTATGTGTACATACATATATACAAAAATTTCATCATTGTTCAAGTCTGTTTCCCCATGAACATCTTGAAGCTCTCTTGCAGAGTCTGTTGAAAGGATGATGAAAAATTTTATAGTTTACCTCTCTCTTCTATCGAATAAACAAACATCGACTAGTTATTAAAACAAACAAACTATTGGGCCACTGTTTGCTAAGTAATCTAAAAAAGTCCTCTAGAAATTCTAGGAATAGCATTATAATTCATAATAAGCCATTTAATATTCTTTAATTTTAACACCGAAGTAGGATTTTTAAAAATACAGTTCCTCAATCCCACTTGTTGTTGTTATGTGCCGTGGAGTCGGTTCTCACTCCTAGCAACCCTGCATAGGGTTTCCAAGGCTGTAAATCTTTACGGGAGCAGACAGCCTCATCTTTCTTCCGCGGAACAGCTGGTAGTTTCGAACTGCTGACCGTGAGATTGGCAGCCCGACTCGTAACCATTATGCTACCAGAGCTCCTTCAACCTCACTAGCTATAGTTTAATGCTCAATAGCCTCATTTAGTGAGTGGTCACCAGAAAGGACTAAACAGATATACAACATTTCCCATCATTTAAGAAAGTGCTACTGGACAGCACTATTGTAGAAAAAAACCAAAAACAGGTCCAGAACAAACAGATCCAGTATGAGAAGAATACTGAATACAGTAAGCTTTGTCTCTCTTGCTTATCACTAAATTTTGTGACACTTTGTATCTTCAGTGAACCTTTGAATAGGTACATTACATAGTCCCGAACACAAATATATCACTTTAAATGTTATAGTGTGCTCTTACTACAATGATATAAAAATGCTATAAAAACTCCTTGAAAACAGCCTGGTCTGCTTAATGTACCTAAATCACGAAATTAGCATAGAAATAAGTCTCTGTTGGAAAAAGACTTGAGGGACTTGGTAGAAACAAATAGAAAACCTCTTGGCATGAATGCACCTGCTCTAACCCAGACCACCAGATGCTTGCAGATAAACCCCTGCTGAAGATGGGTTCATCAAAGAGATCATAAACTGTTTAAGGAAACAATGTTACCAACAGATACAACAAACGGTTCAACTGAGCCCCTGACAACTACAGAGAACAGAATGTTCAATTAAAGACCATACAGTAAGTAAAAATAAAATGATCAAAGGCATAAAAATGTTGCTACATTTTATGGCTTTGATCATTTTATTTTTTGGTAAATCAAAACTAACCAAAATAGAACAGACATATTTAATAAAGAAGTTCCTGAAATTCTATAAATAAAAAAACAGAGACATTGGAAATTAAAACCCAACAGAATGGCAAAATTCAATGAGACAAAACCAACGAGAAAATACATGAATTTGAGGATACATTTCAGGAATAGTGATCATTTCATAATCCCACAACCACCTCTTTATTCTGTTCCAATCCACCTCTAACTTCTCAGCCAACTTCATTATGTACTTCCTCAGCTCCCAAGCCTTCTTAATTGTACTGTTTTCTACTAAGTTCACATTCTAGGTGACCAGTGTCTTCCAGTTACACCAAAAGAAGCTTCTACTTTGACCCTTCTTTTAATATAGGCAGGGATCAATATGACTAAAGACTGTTTGAACTATGAATAATTAAAAATCAAGAAATAGTATTATCTATGCATTAAATGTATTAATAATTCTATCACTGTAACATTCATTTTCATGTATTATTTACGTTAGACTCCATTTTTCATCATTTAGAAATTACTATGTCCTACACAGCGGTTCAAGCTCACTAGTTGGAATTGACTCGGCAGCACTTCACAACAACAACAACAACATGGTGCCTTAGGAGTCCTGATGTGGTGCTGTGGGTTAATGCGCTGCACTGCAAAGTCAGCTTGAACCATAAGGTTGACAGTTCAGGCGCACCAGATGCTCCCTGGAAACCCTAACACAGGGTTGCTATGGTCAGAACTGACTTCGAGGGTGTTTAACAACACCAATAACATGGCGCCTTAGGATAAGAACTGGACTACAAGTTTGACTTGAATTGCAAGGTCGCTCCTTGGACACCCTATACAGGGTCACTGTGAGTCAGACCCGACTCAATGGTACTAACAACAACATATATTATCAGAGGAGTCCTGATGTGCTGCTGCAGGATAAGCACTGGACTGCAAGATTCAAACCCACAACAACATATTAACAGAGCCCTGGTGTGGCATTATAAGATGGATACTGGATTGCTAACTGCAAGATTGGCAGTTCAAACCCACCAGCTGCTCTTGGAAACCCAACACAGGTTTGCTACGAATTGGAATCAACTTGATAGCAATGGCACACAACAACAAATATTAACAGAAAAATCTGAAATACATGTAATGTCTTCCTCATAAAAATTAGTGTTCTAATTTAAACTGGGTTAATGAATATTTCACTGGACTCTTTAAACTTTAAACCTGTTTAATACAAATAAAAAAGTAAATACATTATCCTCACAATTCATAAACTTTCATATATTATGACCTATTTTAGGAAAATTTTGTGCAATGGAGTTGTAGGATTAACTGTTCTCTTATATATTGTTGTTTTCATATGCTACTGTGTTGGGTTTGACTCATTAACCTTGCTTGTATACGGTTTCCAAGAACTGTTGGTGGGCTTGAACTTCCGACACTGTGGTTGGTAATCTAGTGCTTATCTTACAGTGCCACATCAAGACTTGGTTTCTTATATAGTACAGCAACTAATTTTATTCAGTGTTTATAAATGGGTAAGTTAACAAGTGGATTTCTGGTGCGGCGTTGTAGGATAAGCACTGGACTGATAACCACAAGGTAGGCAGTTCAAATCCACCAGCCACTTCTCTGAAACCCTATACAGGGTCTCTATGAGTCAGAAACAACTCAATGGAACTTAACAAGTCAAAAAATATTGCTACTAGTGGTCCAGTTCATACTTGCACAGGTTTATTCCAAATAAAATGTGCTTAAACACAGCTCCTTGATCAGCAGATGGCTTCAGACAAGTTCTTTCAATAATACACTTGTCTTAGTCTCATTAGGGCATTAGGTATAGGGTGCCTTCAAAACAAACAAACAAACAAAGGTCAAATTAAGACAGTGGCTTCTGCTGGGCCGATTCAATTCCAAGCAGAGAGGTCAGCTCAGAAAATGATGGCAATTATTTTTTGTGGATTCCAAAGGGGTCATCCTGATAGAGTTTCTCAAAGGACACATACAACACAATCATGGAGGCTTATTATGAAGAAGTTTTAAGAAAATGGAATAGACAACAAAATATCATATCCAAGATCACATGGCTAGTCAGGGCAGAATCTGCCTGACCCCAAAGCTGTGACATCATTCTTGACACCTAGAAAATAAATCCTTGAGAAGATCCAGCTAATAATGCTTAACTGTGATGTAACAGGCAAACAAAGAGAGGAAGGGGAAGTCCTCACCTCCTGAAAAAGAAGTGCCCCAGACCAGCTAAGTAGCTATTTAATTCTTCTTACCTTGCATTCTCTTTTGGGGTAAGAGAAACATCTCCATCAGGTGCAATGTCAATTTCACAGTGCTCCGGCTGAATTCCTATGCCAAAGAGCTGTATGTCCTGAGAGGTATCTGCACCCACCCTGGTATGAGCCTGGAACAGGTTAGTGACAAAGAAAAACTCACATTGATAAGTTACTCAACAAAATTCATCAACAACAGCTTGAGTAGCTCAACAGTACATGTATGGCAACATTAAATTAATTAAATAAGAGATGTTAGATAGTTAGGACAATATAAGTTAAGTTAAAAACTTCACTTAACATAGTACAAAAATATTTTTATACAACATTCCCACCAAACAAAACAAAACTTGATCAACAGTGATTACAGACTGATTAAAATTATAAACGGAATATGTTGCACTCCAGCTTTGACTTGATTCCTTATTATTTATGTGCCTTAAGGCAAGTCAATTCACTCTCCAAGACTCGTTTCTTGTTTTATTCCTTTCAATACTAGAGACTTTTACAGACTATTTGAGATAACAGAGAAAATGCTTAGAAAGAAAAAGTTCAAGAGCCAATAAAAGCAATTTCATAGAAAGTCATATTTCAAAATATTTAACTTTTGTAAATGCTAAAATTAGCTGAGTTTCTAATACCAATATTGTTGCTGTTATTGCATGCCATTGAGTCAGTTCCGACTCACAGCAACCCTGCATAGGGTTTCTGAGAAGCAGCTGGTGGGTTTGAACTACCGACCGTCTCATTACAAGTCCAGTGCTTATTCTAAAGTGCTACTCCAGGGTATCAAAACTTGTCGGTTATACAGTATACCAATCAGTAGGATTTTAAGTCCCTCAAACCTCAGCCCTATGAGAACTGTGACAATGGTGAATCAATCCACAGCTCCTTCCCTAACATTTTTTCTAATACTCCTAAAAATTATGTAATCTCTACTTGACAGAGAAAGAAAGAAACCAAACCCAGTGCCATCAAGTCCATTCAAATCCATAGAGAACCTTTGTAAGGTTTGTGAAGCAAAAGATGTATGGGAGCAGGCAGCCTCACCTTTCTCCCAAGGAATGCCTGCTGAGTTTGAACCACCAACCTTGTGGTTAGCAGCTAATGCATAACACAGAGCACTACCATGGCTCCTAGGAAAACCTTCCCTGTCTATTCTGCCATTGGGCTTGCTTTAGGCTTATACTGATGTTGAAATCTCCTCAGAATTACTCAGAAACTCAACTGAGAACATCCAGATCTCAGAACTTCTTCCAGACCTGGAGGCCTTTTGAGCTAGGAATCACTTTGACACCTTTAGTTTCAGGAATCTACTCGTGTCCCTCAGGTGCCTGCACCCACAGGACTCCGCCCAACTGGCACAGCTCTGGGAGAATATAGAACAGCTGTTTTTACCTTCTAAATGATGACCTGACTGTACTATAAATTCTTTTCTTTTCTGTAAGGGCTAGGCCAGGTATAAAATGCAAAGTACAAGTGACAGGCACCCAGATTCATTTGGGAACAGAACATGAATTAATCAGGATTTCAACTGTTGACTTACATACCATCTTACCTTTAAATAATAAACCAGGAGCTCGTTGAGAGCAGGGTCTGCGTTCAGGTTGACTAAGTAACACTTATCGTCCCCCACCTTGATGCCGGATGTCTCAAGGGAAATCCCCATACTCTCAAGTTGCCGTTGTCTCTCCTGTGGACAAGAGCAAAACAGAGAACTCTATTTGTTACTCCACTTACAAGATGCATCCATGAACAATTTAAAAGTCATGGTTGCTGGGGACAATGCTAATAAAATTACACATTCTAATCAGCTCAACCAAGTTTATGAAGAACCTATGATGAATGAAACACACTTTATTTTGATGCCTTGAGAAGATGTAGTTTAGTAGTGGAGATACAGTCCACACAACCAGAATACAAAAGAGGAGACATTGTACCATTGGAGAGATGCAAAATACAACAGAGCTTCAAGGGAGGAGAGACTATGATGGATTAAAGGACCAGGAAAGAGCAAAAAGGTGGAAACAACCTACACGTCCATCAATGGATAAAAGGATCAAGAAGATTATGGAATATTATTCAGACAAACAAAGTACTGATAGATGCTACTGCATGTATGAAATCTTAAAAACATGCTGTGTGAGACACACAAAAGGCCATGTACTATATGATTCCATGTTTATGAAATATTCAGACTAGGTAAATCCATAGAGACAGAAAGCACACAGGTCTTCTCAGGGAATGGGAGGAGTGGGATTAACTGCTTAATGGGTGGAGGGTTCTATTTTGGGGAGAGGGAAATGTTTTGGAATAAGATAGCAGCGCTAAGTTGTCCAATATTTTGAATTTACTCTAAACACCACCCAACTGTTCATTTAAAACTTCTCATTTTATGAGTGTCATCCTAAATTAAAAAGAAGAAGAAAAAGAGAAGCACCAGGAAAGGCTTCTAGAAGAGAACCATTTGAGACGATTCTTGAAACGTAAGAATAATTTCAGCAGAAGGAATGGGAGAGTAATGAAAGAAGGATAGGACATTCTGAGGGTAGAGCCTAGTAAAGCGTAATGAAAACTCTGGGCATAATGATTTCAAGTACTAACAACCCTTAGTAAACATGGGAAAAGGGTAGGATGTAGGGCTAGAAAAGTAGGTTGGGCCCATATTGTAGAGTTAATTCATCAATGTATTCATTCAAACCTACACTCTGCTGGGCAATGTTGTTGCTAGGTCCCATTAGGTCGATCCCAACTCATAGCAAGCTTACACCTCACAGCAAACACTGCCTGGTCCTGCGTCATCCTCACAAACTTTGTTACACTTGATCCCATTGCTGCTGCCATTGTGCCTAGCCATCTTGTTGGGGGTGTCTTCCTCTTTTTTGCATAACGGCCTTCTCTAGGGACCGGTTCCTCCAGACGACATGTGCAAAGTATGAGAGATGAAGTCTCACCTTCCTGACTTCTAAAGAGCCATTCTGGCTGTACTTCTAACAACACAGATTTTTTTGTTCTTCTGGAAGTCCATGGTAATTTCAATATTCTTCTTCAACACCATAATTCAAATTCTATGGTGTTCTTTATCAACAGTACAACTTTCATATGCACGAGTCGACTGAAATTACCATGGCTTGGGTTAGGTGTACCTTAGGCCTCAAACTGGTATCTTTACTGTCAAACATATTAAAGAGGCCGTGTGCAGCACACTTGCCCAATGCAATGCTTTGTTTGATTTCTTGACTGATGCTTCCATGACTGTTGTTCTTTTAAATGTTTTATTGTGAATTATGTGATAGTTTACATGGGAGAACATTAGTTTTACATTCATCCTATAGTATATCATTTCATTGCTATGGTTACAATGCCCTCCATGCATCATCAACCAACCAAAGGGTATACCCTGCAAGACTGCCCCCTAGGTCCTTAGCACCCAGCCCCTCTCCCTCTCTGTGTCTAAAGTCCCCAACACTTCCATCTTTCCACATCATCGTCTCTACCTCCATCTCAGGCATCACTGCTTCTCTGGGTAGGGTCCCGCTCTCCTCTGTTCTCCCTTGATGGTCTCAGGGACCTCCACTGAAAAGTTAATCACTCCCTTCTTTGCTAAAAAAGTCTACCTTTATAATTCCAACCCTCACAAGAAGTACAGATAACAATTATTCACTATTATATCACAAGAGATCCATCCGGATTTCATTTCATCAGCCCCGCTTAGACAGACTGTATACTACTCAGTGGAGATTCTACTTTCCTCCATGCCCTATGAATCTAGCTTCCCTCTTGCCATGAGTGTTTTTTTGTGGATCAAAGCACAATGCAGTCTTTAACAACTTCAACCTTTTCTTCAGTTATCATGATGTTATTTACTGGTGAGGATTTCTGGCATTAAATTAAGACTGTGAACACATTCATCAAAAAAATGATGTCCCTTCCTTCATGAAAACTAGGGTGAGGAACAAACCATTAAAAAACAGATGAGTAAATATACAGAGCTACTAAAGTATTAAGCGTTATGGAAGGACGTAACACAAGACACTATGGAAAAGAAGCTAGTTACGTGTGTGTGTGTATGTGTGTGTGTGTAATATCTGTAAGAAACATGTAAGCAGAACCCTGGATGAGGTCACAGCTTTAAGCTACTTGACTGGGATGATCAAACACTTCCAAGTAGTCAATGAGATTAAAATGTTCATGAAATACATGGTACAGAAACTTGCACTCTACAAACGTAGTCAATGAGATTAAAATGTAGATGAGATGCATAGTATAGAAACTTGCACTCCACAGACACGCAGATTGAGTTTTTGCTTCACATTGTATCTGAAGTAAAGCTCACACATGATTTTCTAACAAGTCCACAGAATCAAACAGAGTAGGGAGAAAAGGATGGAAGTGCTGTATGTTATAAATTCTCTGCCGTGCAAGCTCAACATCATGCAACAGATTTTTATTTTAACGCAAAAAGCAGACTTTAAAGATATTTCCTATGCCTGTTCAAACTCAGTGCTCTTCAATAGTTCTAGCAAATAAAATGAAAAAAGATTGCGAATTAAAAAACAAAAGTATCTAACTTGAGTTTGGCATGAAATGGTTCTTTAGAGACTTTTTGAGGATAACTAGAGGTTACATGAAGGAGTTCTGGTAGCATAGTGGTTACGAATCAGACTGCGAACCACAAGGTCAGCAGTTCGAAACTACCAGCTGTTCCATGGGAGAAAGATGAGGCGTTCTGCTCCCGTAAAGATTTAGAGTCTCGGAAACCCTGTACAGGGTCACTATGAGTCGGAATCGACTCCACGGCACATAAAAACAACATAATAGAGGTTATATAAGAAGCTCTGATAGCATAATGTTTACGAATCAGGCTGTGAGCTGCAAGGTCAGCAGTTCAAAACTACCAGCTGTTCCGTGGGAGAAAGATGAGGCGTTCTGCTCCTGTAAAGATTTACAGCTTCAGAAACCCTGTACAGGGTCACTATGAGTCGGAACCAACCCCA